TGGAGTCACCATCCCTGGAGGGGTTTAAGGAGAGGCTGGACTTGATGATCTCAGAGGGCTTTTCCAGCCTCAACAGTTCTGTGATTCCCTGGCCCAAAAAATGTTATGCACAAAATAGGCACTTTTAATCAGCTTCTAATTTTACTAAAAGTGAATGAGCATCCTCCTGGATGCTGCTGTAATGAAATACAGATTGTTGTTGAAGTACTCAAGTCTCGCTCTGTATATTCTTTCTGTTTCCATATCAAGGAGGATTTTGGATTTACTCAATTCCTGGTGTGGACTAGGTGTAACTTTTTGTCTTTTCCACATAGACTAAGTTATTAATATCATTTTCAAAGCAGTTTTATTCGCAACAGCTTTTGGATTTTCATATTTGTTTTCTTTTCTAGGTATGAGAACTTCCAGAGACGTCTGACACAGAATCCTCTCTTCTGGAAAACATAAGCTTAAATTAAGTCATTTGAAATGCTTTCTAAACAGTGCTACCTGAAAGATGAATCAGGTTACTCCACTGAAGAATTCTGGGAAGGGAAAAAAACGATTAGTCTAAAGAGACGAACTTGTAACTTTTATATTACTCTTGAAAATTATTTAAAATTAAAATATGTGATAACTACTTGCCTACGTGGTGGTGGTTTGTGGTTTTTATTTTTTCAACTGAAGCACTTGCCTGCAGCAAGAAAACAGTGTTCCATGTGCATGCGTATGCTGCTACTGGGTTTTGCCCAAACAGGTGCAAAATCCGTGAAGCGCAGTCAAAATTCTAATTATGCAGAGGCGTGGATGGTTTTTTGGTAGTTTGTTTTCAAAAAAAGTTACAGTAATTAAATGAACCAAGTATTTTTCTGGCATACAGCTCCTGCTGACAGCTAAGCATTTCTAGCTACATCAGAAACCTTCCCTGCCAGCACCGGTAGAAAAAGTACATTTCTTGTACCCCTGAATCAGAGCTCCCCAACATAATCGGTGCTCAAACGGCATGAAACACACCAAAGAAAAACCCAAAACATGCGCTCTCATATTCTAGGAAGGGCAAATTCAATCCATGTTTGCATGAAATTCTTTGGCTTAAAATTAGAAACCTCAAGAAGAATCACAGAATGGTCAGGGTTGGAAGGGACCTCTGGGGATCATCTAGTCCAACCCTCCAGCCAGAGCAGGTTGCACAGGGTGGCCTCCAGGCTGGTTCTGAATGTCTCCAGAGCTGGAAATCCACCTCTGCAGCCTGTTCCAGTGCTTTCTCACCTTCACAGCAAAGAGTTCCTCCTCATCTTTAGATGGAACTTCCAGTGTTCAGGTTTGTGCCCATCACCCCTTGTCCTGTCACTGCACACCCCTGAAAAAAGACTGGCCCCATCCTCGTGACACCCACTGGTAAGAGCCTCTCTCAGTCTCCTCTGGTCCACACGAAAGCCCCAAGTCCCTCAGCCTTTCCTCACAAGAAATGTTCTAGTCCCCTCATCACCCTTACGGCCCTTTGCTGTTCTATCTCCTGGCAGTTCCCTGTCCTCGAACAGGGGGGCCCAGAACCAGACACAGGGCTCCAGATGAAGCCTCACCAGGGCAGAGTAAAGGGGTCCTGATTTAAAATTAAATTATGGTTTTGTGGTGTTTTTTTTTTAATCCAGTCACCACCAGATGGAGTAAAACCTCAGCAGGACCTCAATCTCTGAGGAAGAGAGCTCCTCCTACTTGAACCCCTTATTTAAGAAGCAGGAACCTCTTTTTCTTCTTCCACATGTGCTATAAACTTTCTTGCTGACCCTGGGCAAAGTCTCTGCCTAAAAATTAGCATTGCAGTGCAAGTCCATTTCTAGGCCTCTGAAAGGTGAAAGATAAGGACCTCTCCAGTTTTGTTTTTTTTCCTACGAAAGGATGCAAGCTTGGTGTGCAACAGTTGAAGGAAACAGCAACTTTGATATTTTATTGTATTCTATGGTCTATTGTCCCTAGTGGAGAGTGATAGGATGAGGGAAAATGGATTTAAATTGCGCCGGGGAGGTTCAGGTTAGGTATTAGGAGGAATTTCTTTACTGAAAGGGTTGTCAGCCATTGGAACAGGCTGCCCAGGGAGGGGGTTGAGTCACCGTCCCTGGAGATGTTTAAGAGACGGGTGGATGTTGCGTTGGGGGGAATCAGTTAGTAGGTCGGCAGGACTGGGACAAAGGCTGGACTCAATGATCTTCTAGGTGTCTTCCAGCTGATATGATTCTGTCATTCCAAGAGTTCCTACAGAAGGGACCTCTGTAACCCCTGCAGCCTCCTGAAGTGGTTTCCTGGCTGGGCTGCAACTGACAGAACCAGGGGGAATGGTTTCAGGTTGCAACAGGGCAGGTTTAGGCTGGACATTAGGAAGAAATTCTTCATGGTGGTCAGACACTGGATCAGACTGCCTAGGGAGGGGGTTGAGTCGCCGTCCCTGGATGTGTTCAAGTGTCGCTTAGATGTGGTGTTGGGTGATATGGTTTAGGGGTGACCTTGTAGTGTAGGGTCAGTGGTTGGATTCGATGATCCCAAGGGTCTTTTCCAACCTGAATTGTTCTAGGATTCTATGATTCTATGCCCCTCAGGGCCCTGGAGCCAGGCAGAGCCTGATTTCACCTCTCCCTCATCTGCCCTTTGCCAAGATGGGAAACAGAAGGAGTCAATTAGAGAATCTGTCTCTGAACATCCAGAACTACAGGTGGCTCACAGACAATGGGAACAAACAGCCGCTAACGCCTTTCAGGATGTTTCTGGTAGGCTTCTCCAATGCTAGGGTCAAACCTGTACTTTGCTGAAGAGCTTTGGCACTGGAGCTCTAAAGGAATGTTACACAAAAGCATATGTTAAAAGGTACAAAGGTTTTGGAGAATACCAAACTCTTCTCTTTTTTTGCAATGTCTGTAACTCTCCTAGCGCTACATCTTCCAGAAGATGCACAACAAAAATAAAATTATTTCCCCTCTTTTTCTAGTCTAGAACTAGGCATCCCTAGGAAGAAAGCACCCCGATGAAATAAATAAACAATTTTTACATTCCCTTGAGTTTCTGGATGTTGACAAGTTTTCCTTGGGTGTAAAATCAAGGTTTTATTTAATCCTAAAAGCAGATGGGGCTGGTGGTTGTAAAGGAGAACTTTTTAGTCCCCCTTCATTAACACTTTGAATCTGACTTCAACTCCATCCAGGTTACTCAGGGCAAACCTTCTGGAACATTCATCTGCGTTTTAAGAGAACAGTCTGCAGCACATCTGTAAGCAAATACAGAAGTTCAGGCCGGCCCGAATTGTGTTAGGGCTCTCTCTAGTTCCAAGCACCACCCTTCCTTTCCTTCCTCTCACACAGGGCGTAGCCCATTTGTCGCAACGTACCACTTACCAAAAAACCCAACCACAGCCGAAAAAATCCCTGCTGCTGTTGTATCCTGTTTCATCTCAAGCCCGGGACACAGGGAAACACAAAGTCCCAGTGCAAGGCATTGCTACTGCACAGCATTTGCAAGGGCTCAACAGTACCAGTCTCCAACCCAAGTGTTCTCAACACAGCTTAGCTCGTCTGATCCCAGAGTTTCCTTGAAGGCTGGAGGAAGCCTGAGCACTCCCACTGCTTTTTCAGAACACGCTCCCAACCACGTGCTCACTGCCACCATTTTTCAGACTGCCAACCCCACGTACTTTCCACACAATGAACCACAGGGTGTGAGGGTCGTTGCTGTTCCATAAACCCTGGTTCGCAGCGTGCCGGCAGTTCTGTAGGCACAGTAGAACCAGAGGTTAAAAACTGCCTCCAAGCTCCACTCTCACCTTTCTCCCTCTTCAGTATTTCAGTCTCAGAATCGTAGAATGTTGGGGGTTGGAAGGGA